GTTGTTCGTTTGTAGACTCTCCATGTGTCGAAGCATTCTATGCAATTTGGTATTTGCTTTTAGTTAATAAATTTCAATCATCATAAGTTGAAGTTCGAGCTACTGCTTACAAGTCAATCACTTGATGCAAGTAAATATATTCAGTTTTTCTTTTTGGGACTGCTGTATTTCTTGACTTTTATGTAATGAAATGAATTGAGTAATTTATGCATGTTAGCGTACTCATCGTCCCATTTAATTATGTTAAGTATATGTAATTGTTTTTGTTAGAATATCATTTGTGAATTGTCTTACATCGTTTATACAGAGAAAATAAATTTAACTTATGAGTTTAGTGGGCTTCTTTTCCTTCCACTAATTGATTTTAGGATGGAACCTGACCATCAACGCTTATCCTCGTATGGTGCGTTTCACGTGTGTGGGACTTCACTCTTCACCCCCAGTTCTTACAGTTTTATAATCCAATAAAAGTACATTAAAAGACCATGGTAAATCAACCTTTTTACCTTATCTATGGCCATTGCCTAATGAGTTGTAATTATTTTATCACACTTACACATCATAGTTGTTTTAATTATCTTATTATTACACACACTTACACACACCTAGTTGTTCTAATTATTTTATCACACACACTTCCACATCATCGTTGTTTATGTTGTTTTTCACTCAAGTTATAGCCTTTTTTCTATTCACATTTTGTATTTCACATAAAGTAACTTTAATCATTTTTCTTTTTGTTTTCTTACATAAACTACCGCCTTTTTCTATTCACATTTTGGATTTTCACATAAAAATCACTTAACATTGAGTATCTTACAAAAGGATCATACTACATTAACATAATGATAGGCATAAAATTTGAGATAATACAAAAACATGTATTTTCATACCATCACATCAATTTTGAACACTATCATTCCTATATTTACACATCATTTATGTCATATACAATATGTCAAACTATGATCACTCTTTACAAAATGAGTAACCATTTCTTTGCTAAAATCCAAACACACCAACAATCCTCCTTAAGAACTTTTCATTTCCAAAATTCCTATATGAAGAGAGGGACAAAACAAGAAGTCAACCAAAGGAAGAGACTCATCACAAACACAACCCAACCCAACTCAACCCAACTCTCACAATCCGACTTGCTCCACCACATCCCGAATCAACGCCTCCACATTCAAACTAGACGAGCCCCCTTCCCCAACCGCATCCCTCGCCATCCTCCCGGCCTCCCGACCCCTTCCTCTCCCCCGTCCATCACTTCCTCCACCGCGCTCCTCACCCGATCCCACCCGACCCACTCCCCGCCGGTCTCGACCCCGACCCTGACCCCGACCCCGAGCACTCCCACCACAAACTTCTCGTTATAAAACTGCTCGGCGAACATCGGCCACGTCACCATCGGCACACCCGCGCAGACCCCCTCGAGCGTCGAGTTCCACCCGCAGTGCGTCAGGAAGGCCCCGACCGAGGGGTGGGACAGGATCAGCACCTGTGGGGCCCACCCCCTGACCACGAGCCCCCTACCCCTCACCCTCTCTTCGAAACCACCCTTTTCCCCTAGCCACCGCTCGACCTCTTCCGAGAGGCCCGAACGCTCGAGGCCCAGCCCGATCTCCTTCGTCTGCTCGGCCCGTATTCGGCAGAGGCTCCCGAAGCATGCGTACACTACCGACCTCGGGCCCATGGCCTCGAGCCACGCGAGGCAATCGGGCCCGGGCCCGTACCCGGCCCGGTCGCCGCGGGTCGACTTCTCGTCGACCCCCACGTTGCAGAGGGAGACGGGCCCCACGCACCATAAGTTCCCGACTAAGGCCCGGTAGTTCTCGAAGTACCATGGCTCGAGCTCGTGGAAAGTGTTCACCAGGGTGCCACGGGCCGAGTCCCGAGCCCACTTGATCTCGTCGAGGACGTCCTGCATGCCGTTCGGGCCCTCTTTTTGGCCCATTGGCAGCTGGGCCGCGGTGAGTTCGATATCGTGGGGTATGTTTGGGACCGGAAACGAGCCTCGCTCGGGAACGGCGCTCCCCTCAATCCTCCTTGAGCAGAGGAGGGTGAAACACGACACCGTTTCGAAATTGTACCTCGGGATTTTGAATTTGTCGGCGACCTTCTGAGTCCAGGGGATGGCGTTGGTGGAGACGATGCAGCTGGGCTTTGAGCTCAGGCCCTGGATTATGGACTCAAGTGGGCCCTGGAGCATCTGGCAGGCCCGGAAGAATTCCCTGGACATGTCCAGGGAGTTGAGACCGTCCATGTTCTCGCAGCCGTCGGGCAGCCCGACAGCCCGGCCCGGGAATTCGATGGGTATCATATGGATCTTGAGGTTGTGGGCCGCCGCGTGTTGGGCCACGCCGTCGTATCGGGCCGCGTTGAGGGGCGTGGTGATGATTGAGACGCACGCGCCGCGGAGGGCGAGTATCTTGGCGAAATCTGTTAGGGGAATTATGTGGCTTTGGGACATTAAGGGGATTAAGATGAAGTGAAGCTGCTCAGGCTTGGAATCCATGGACGAGGTATGTTTTTGTGTGTGTGAGAGTTTTTCTTTTTTCTTTTTTATTTTTTTTGTTGAGGGATAATATGTGGAGGGTTTTTGCCGTTTTGGGCTATTTTTTTTTTTATAGAGAGAGGCCCATATGGTGGTGTCTGGTGTGGTCACTGGTCAGCAATCTGATTAATGGTGAATGTTTAAAATATAAATATAGGGGGAAATTGTGTTTTTTAGAAGGGGTCTATGTGGAGCAAATTAATCACAGGCTCAATTATAGACATGTGACTATCATTCACTATCTTCATTTGATTGGTTTTTGACTTTTTGTTTTATTGGGTGATTCAAAAAGTTGGTATCCATTAATGGTTGCCATTCGGTATGAAATTTTTTTTGAAAAATTTTTTTTTCATCCAATAAAATAATATGATTGAAGGTGTAAACGAGTCGAATCGAACTTGAACTCTTGGTTGAGATCGGACTTAAGTTTGTATCAAGTTGAGTTGAACTTGTTAACAAAATAAGCCGATGAACGGTAGCGAGCTTGGCTAATTGTCATATTAATAAAGTCGAGTCGAACTAACGAGTAGTTCACACCTCCAAGTATGAAATAAAAATATAATGATTAAAATTGATGTGATGTAAAACTAGTAATATAATATTAAGTCATGTTGATGGACAATTAGAGTATTATCAATGCTTTTAGTCTAATTTTGTTTAGTGGTCATAGTAAAAGAGTTAACTAGTGAATATTGTGGATAAATGAAAGAAAATATAAATCACGGTCACTCAAATTCAATATTTTGACAAATTTGCCCAAAATGGTGTGGAACCAAGTAAATGTGAATTATTTTATTTAAAAGTATAATTTTTATAATGAAACATTTAGTCTAGACTCATGTATTAAAATGGACTGCGGTGAAGATTTAGTCCGTTTTTTCGCACTGTCATATTATCTAGACTTAATCTTATTGTACTGGCATTATTGATGATTTACAGCACAAAAGGTTCCAAATCATGCAGTCATTTTATTAAATAAACTCAAGCGTTAAATATTCTCCAGAGATATGTAAGTATGCGAATAGTTAGTTTACCACACTTCCATATATTGGCTAGTTTTTCATCCATAAGCTATCAATTATAAGCTCGAAAATTAGAATAAGGTTGGTAAGCACCATAAACTAACTTATAACTTATTTGGTTAGAATATAATAATTAACTTTTCTGTATACAAATAAGTTTGATTTGGTAGGATGTACTTTTAAAAAAAACTCGAACTTATATATATCATAAGGTTATTTGAGTAGCTTTTCAAAAGTCAATTGAAATTTTTATTTCAGTTGACTTTAAACTAATTTTATCAACATCTATACTTATATTAAAAGGTATACCATTTACCAGATTTAGTATAAAGAAAAATCAACAACATTTATTGCATTACTATTTCCGTATTATACAATCTATACTTATATAAAATGAGATTCTATTTACTACATTTACTATCAAAAAAAGTCAACTGCATTAAATGCCATTACTATTTTGGTATTATAATATTTTATTTATTTAATTGATTTATTTATTTGTTTTATTTTAAAAAAGGTAAGTATAATAAAAAGATTTTAATAAAAAAAAAATCAAATACCAAATAAAAAAGTACACTTTGACTTATTTGATTATATTTGGTATTTGATTATACCAAATATATTCCTATTTAGTATATACATTAAATACTTACTAAAATATTTATTTGTTTTATTTGTTAAAGTTAAGTATAGATTTGTTTATATTATCAAATCATAAAAAAATATTAAATCCATATTGTAAAAAAAAAAAATTCATATAATTTTACAACAAACTACACTATTTAACAATATTTCTTTTTTATTATATAATAAAATAATAATTAAATATTATATGGTGAACAACAATAAGTAAAACTGTTACTTTCTCTTATATCAAGTGATAAATTTATATGCTAAAATTAAATTTTTATTAGTATAAATGTTTTAGTGAGATAATATAATAACTATTTTACAAGTTTGCCCTGACATGCTCATATTTAAAGTTTTAAAAATGTAGAAAAAAAAACTTATAATAATTTTATTGTTTTTTAGACTTAAACGTTGATTAAAAGAGGTAAAAATTCCTATTTTTTTAGACTTAAACGTTGATTAACACCATAGATTGAGAGTTTGTATTTAGTAAAATTCCTAATTGTAATAAAAAAAATTAATTTTTGCTATATTTTAGAATATCTTTAAATTCATTATACAAAAAAAGAAAAAAAAAACTACAATGAAAAAAGCAAGTCAGCTATATATCGATTTGTTGTACTCCTCAAATCACATTCACAATTTTGGCTACAAAGAAAGGAAACTCATTGATTAAAATATTATTTTGTCAGTAGTCTTAATGTACAAGAGACTTTAAGACTCCACTTGAATATTATAAAACTTTTATCGAACATTGTACAATTTTTTTGCGTATTATAAACTTTTATTAAATATTGCATCTTATAATATAATATTCTCCAAATAAATATATTCGTGCTTCGCATGGGTCATGTACTATATATATCTCGTAGATTTTTCTTTATTCATGTATATAATTATAAGTCTGGATAAATAGCCTTAAAATTGTGCATCCCGTGCATCGCACGGGCTCTGTACAAGTTTTTATCAAATAAGATAGTTAATTTTTGACTCATAAGTCATAAATTGTGTTGTATGTAATACAAGTATACAACCACAACCACACAACATAAAGAACGTTATTTCTAAAATTAAAGTAATTTGTCGTGTCTGTGAGGACCACGTAAAAATATTGATGCATGCAAACAAACATGTAATTAATGACAAAAGTGACTTGATTTGAGATTAAAAAAAAAAAAAATTAAAAATCAGCTTGAATTAGTGGTGGAATATATTATGATCAACAAAAATCAAGTGAATTTGTTTTTGAATTTAAAATAAGCCATTCTTTTCCATCAACGAATGAGATGTCGATGTACGGAGCCGCCTCACATTGCCTCAGCTGCTTCGCATACGCGGCCCGATTCGTAGAGTTGGCTCCGGGCCCGTAGCTCCCGTATTCACCAAACGACACCGTTCTGCACATTTTTTTATTAAATAATTAATTAGTTAATTCAGGGCTGATTTTGATAACATAAATTACATACAAATATCTACTTATAATTACTTCATATATAGGCGTTAGTAGGCTAGTAGAAAGTGTACTTAACAAAATCATTTAATGGAAGAACTAATGGGTTAATAATGTAAAGTCATCGTGACATATGATATATGGTTTTGCAATGGTTAATTGTAATAGTTAATTTTAATATTATTGGATAACAGTGAAATAATGATTTATAGTTATAGACATTTCATATGTCCAAGAGGAAAAAATGAGTAATGCTATATATGTTGACATAATAGTTTTGACGCGACGTAATGATGTGTATGTCTACGATTTTCCCCACATAGCACTATTCATAAAATTTTTAATCATTGATTTCACCTACATGAGTGTATGCGTGTGTAAATCAATGGTTAAAAGAATTCATGGGACAGTGTCCCATGAGATAAGATCGAACTACGGTGATGAATGAAATAGTAATTTACTTTTAAAGAAATGTTTAGTAATGATTGGTTTAAAATTCCACAATTGAACTAGAAAAATGTAATAGAGTTTGAAAGGTTAATGGATGAATAGTGTATTTCTTAGTTGATGTGTGGATATATAGATGAGTTTGAATGTATAAATAAAATGTGGTTCAAATATGAACTAGCCTTTAGCGTAAGAATCGTAAAAATGCTATTTTTAACTTGTAGTACTTTTTTTTTTATTATGTTTGTTGTTATTTCTAATTCGGATATATTTGTGCCACACTTATAATCAGGAATTGGTTTAATATTTAACAACAACAATAATAAATAGCGTACTCGTCTCTAGAGGAGTCGTCCCAATCATTCCACCCCTCATCAGCCACTATACGAGACATGTATGTTTTAGAGAAAACAGTCGTGGCGTAACGTCCCCATGCTCTTCCAAGCCACACTCTTCCACTCCCATTGATGCTACACCTCACGAATGAGAATCCTGTTTTCTCATCCCGCGAGTCTCTCCCTTGCGCTGTGATCGAGCCACTGACTCCACTACCAGATGTTACTTCTTTTGCAGTCGAATTTATGGTGCAATCCTACAAATGTTAAAGAAAAAAAAAGTTTCATAAATACCAAACATGCTATCACAAATTTTAATGTGAGACAACTTAACGGTTGAATGGGTTGACCTATAATACTTTTAGAACATAAATACGTAAATATACTGTGAACTATCATACTGTTTGTTTAAGTTGTTTTTTATAGTATGACATTTGAAAATAAAAACATGCATCTTTGTTAAAAATGTATGTTTATCTAATCACTAAGTCTAACCAACAATAATTTTAGGGCATTGATAGATATAGTTGTTACCAGTGGGTTGTAATTTTGTAACCTCCATTCTAGAATAATCTAGAACTTGCAAAGCGTAATGCTACTATTTGAAATCACACTATCCTATGCAAAAATCCAATGGTAATATATTTTAGTGAAAAATTCAACGGATGTTCCAACTGTATAGTTCCATTAAAATGATTCCAAATAAAGTTTCAATTGGAATGAATTTTTTATTGATCATATGAATAAACTAGCTAATGCATGGATATTAATTCATTTAAAATGTGCTTTCTAAAATACATTTGAATGAGCATCACAAAAAAAAAAAAAAAAAAAAATGCCATATTCCAAGAAAAAATCCTACGGTAATATATTTCAACGAAAATTCGAATGGATATTTTAATAGAATAGCTTCCATTGGAATAATTCCAACGGAAATTCCAGCGAAAATATCCCATTTGAATGACTTTCCCATTGGAATTTTAGATGAAATTTGATGATTCCAACGACTATTTTTCCTACGGAGGTTTACAATAGGGATTTTCGTTGGAATTTTTATTTACACCTATATTCCAACCGTTATAAAATCTAGCGTTGAAATCGTAAAAACCTAACGAAAATTCCAATGGAAAACTCATTCCAACGGAATATTTCTGGAATTTTCGTTGAAATCAATAAATATTTCTACGGAAATAATAACATTGGAATATTCATTGAATTTGCTACTGAATTTCCATTGAAATATATTTTCGTTGGAATTTCGACATTGTCTTGTAGTGCATTATTCTTTAACTTAAATGACTTAATCAAATAATTAGCAAAAGGCAAACTCCTAATTAGTTCATAAAATCAAAAATGAGAAAATAAAGAAAAATATATTAAAAAAATGTTTTATGTTTTTTCAATTAGAATATAATTAGAAAAACATTATTAAAATATTATTATATAATTTTTTCTTATTAAGATATATAAATTATTTTAAAATATATATATATATATATATATATATATATACNACAAAAAGAAAAAAAAAAAAGATCCTCAATCAAGTTTTTGAAGAGTAAAAAATAAAATGATAAATGATGGTCAGAAAGATTAGGTTTAGTTCAGTATTACTATTAAATAATTAATTAGTAACAAACTTATATTATCTCATGGAAATTTTTGCAATTTTCAAACATATCTGGGACTAATTGGTAATTAAGCCAAACTCTAGGGGTATATTATTTTACCAAAATGTATGTTTTTTTTGTCCTTTTTTTTTGAGTAATTGTAGAAAACTTTTTATCTTTTGTCATTAGGCTAAAAAGTTGGGTAGATTATGCTATTAACCAAAAGATAGAATTTTATATTATTGAGTTGAGAAGAAAAAGAAATTAAATACCAAAAAACTGATATTGTAAGCTACGAAATTTGGAGCTGATGTGGCAAATGTGGAGCTGTATGTTGTGCCCCCAGTGGAGTTAGCTGTGTCATTCCATGAAATGGCAGTGTTGTGGTAACCTTGACCTTGGACTATCAAATTTGTCTTGTTTGAACTCACCTCTACTTTTTCCCTGCACATTTTTATCATGATAAATAATTATATATATTTTTATAAACTTAATTATGGATATATATGATTAATCATCATTAATCAATAATCCAATTCTCCAAATGCAACTTTTAAAAACAGAGTAAACAAAAATATGATATTTCACAACATAATTATGTATTTCTGTTAATTACGAAGGTATATAGGGTCGACCAGCCTCAAAGTTAGACCGTCTAACACAAGAATTTGTGTTCAGTCACAAAGTTAAGAACAAAAAGGAGAAATATCTATTTTACTCAATTATTTATTTTTTTGCCTAAAAAATTAGTAAATAAGCGAATATATGACATCATCTTACACACGCGACATTCAAAAGTAATCAATTTAGATTTTATGATTGATGAATATTGTATGAAATATTGGTATATATTATTACCTATATGTGCCCGAGTCGAGAATAATAAGTACCCAAGATTGATTGAAATCGGGCAAGGCATCAACTGCCTTTTGCAAGCTGCTAAAATTCGCGCAACCTTTCAAACCGACAGTGTAGACAGCACTAACGTTGTACAAAGACACGAGTTCCGAGTCCCACTTGTTGTTGCCACACGAGCTCCCATGCTCGTGTTCATGATAATTACGATGACCATGATGTTTCGTATAGACAATGCTCTTTAGCATGGCAAAAATGTCATATTCGCTTTCAAAATAGGTTCGAATGCCGAACGATGTACTAACAATGGTGAAATGGGCATGCTTGGATAATATTATGGAAAGAAGCAAAATTGTTAAGGAGATCACCAAGAAAAAGGAGGAAATTTTCTTGTTCATGGTTGAAAATTTGGTGTGTTTTCCTTAGTGCCGTGTTTGGATGATGGGTTTTTATAGCTGGGATTATGAGGTGGGGCATGATTATCGTAGGTGGTAAGAAAAGGATGTGGATTTGGTCAATGAATGTCTGTGTTGATTGATGATTGCATTTTGCTATGGGTTGTGAATGGAGATTGCAAAACTCGCACGCTAAGCCATGTTTGAATAGATATATAGTGTATGTTGGAAAAGCTTTTGAAATGGACTTTTGACTGTAAAAGTTCATTTCCTAAATAAAAAGATGTTTGGTGTAAATAATAAAATAGATTTTTAAAAAATAACTCCTATAAAAAGTCAATCTCAAAATATTACAAATCTAGTTTTCTGAGAGCCCTTGATTTTTTGTAAGGCAGGGTATATTTTCTATTTAGTTTATCATTAATTCTGATGTGTCGTTCTTCTCCTCTCCAAACCTTAGGCATCTGGTTTATTCAGCGAGTGCATTGATTTGCAAAAAAGTTAAAATTTTAGATTTTTATTGTCAAAATTGAAAGGTGGAGACAAATTGCAAACAAAACAAGTGTTGAGAACTAATCTGCAATTTAGCCTTTTTTTTATATATTTAGTTGGAATATAAAGATCTCCAATTTTTATTTCTTTTATTGATGTTTTTTATAGCTATTGAAAATGCATCCTGATATTTTCAATTATAAATATTGGGACATCTATATTTTTCAAAATAAAACAAAGGAATAATATTTTTAGTCAAAAAATAACAAATAAGTATTACTTAAAAGCAAAGAAGTATTAAAACTATATTTAAAGGCTTAACTTATGCTTGAATGTAACACATTATTTCTCAACAGTTTCGTAATGCAAGTAATTACAGCTGTTTATTCCAGAGTGCGTAATGAATCTCGTAATTATATTCAACAGTGTTTGAAAAGCAATGAAAATGTTTTTAACAGTTGCTGCTGAAGAAAATATGAATGAAAATCATTCATGAGAGATATCTTTAGTCAAAATGATGAAATTAATTATTTGCCTTTCTAATTCATTATATTCATTGCCCAAATATTTGAAGGTGGCATTGTTTTATTATTTTCGTATGAAAAAGTTACAGATTTTCCAATTGTTGAGTTGTGCGGGTCTAAGGTCAATATTTTATTTTTCTTTGTTTTATTCAAACTTTATTATGATCAACACTTAAGGATTAAGTGTTAGTTTTGCTCGAAGGATTCAAGTGTAAGAAAGTCCATGGAAATAATTGATAGAATCGTGTGTAGTTGTAATTAGACTAGAAGGGAGTTTGGGTCGTGTAAGTCCAAACTATACAAGTGTGCATAAACGATTTATCAATGAAAGATCTCTGAGGGGAAGTGAGACGCTCCCCCGAAGAGTTTTAAATCTCTGGTTTATTGTTCTGTGAGGATCTCGTTATGTACAAGTCACGAATTCAATAGCAAACGTAAACCTATGCGCAGCGGATCTAAAGGTTTGACGTAGAGAACTTACGGCTTAAAATTTATGTAGATCTGGTTGACCACGAACGGTTGACCGCAATTGATTGACCGCAAATCACGTCTTGGGTTGCACGAATAAAATCAGATCAAAATCGGATTAAACGGATGCAAACAGATCAAAACAAAATTTCCGCTATTTTAATTGTTTTTAGTGTTCTAATACTGTTGAGTGCACTCATCGTAAAATACCCACGTTTTAAGGCCTATACATTTGAAATGAGAAAACATTTAAAAAAAAAAAAGAAAAAGAAAGAAAGGTAATAGTAAGAAAAAGTGAAAAAAATAAATAAATATTTTATGAGCTATAACAGGTCAATAATTCATTCTCAAAACCCAAGATTTGGAATTAAGAAAGTCAGTGAGTAATAATAATAATAATAATAATAATAATTCATTCTCAAAACCCAAGATTTGGAATTAAGAAAGTCAGTGAGTAATAATAATAATAATAATAATAATAATAATAATAAATGTTCTCATTGTGCTGCTATGGGAGACCAATTTATTTTTTAAATCAATTTCAATTCGCTATAATTAATTAGTTTTTAAGAATTGGACTAAAGTAAAAGTGGCCAAATATTTTTATATTACTTCACTTCACTAACTGAGAGCATCTCCAATGACACAATGTCTATTGTAAGATATTATGGCGTGAAGAAAAGAAATAAAAATATTTTGTCTCCAATGGTAATGTCAATTGTAGAATAATTTTACACATATAAGATAATAATTGATTGATGGAGAAAAAATAAATAAATTATATAATATAGAAAGAAAATGTCTATAAATCTTTCTACATATTTTAGATAACACATTGGATTTTTAGGTCCATGTAATAGAATAGAACAATCCATGATCTATTAGAGATGCTCTGAAGCCCATACGGGCTGAGGCCCGAGTCCACTAAGCCATGCCTTTGCCTTTGCGATGGAAGGATCTATATTTGCAACAAAAATATATATTTATATTATAAAATATCATAATTTTAAAAAATATATGCCTATTTATTGAAGAATTATATATGGTTGTTTAATTGTTAGTTCTAATTGTAGCCTAATTATTCTATTAATTTCACACAAAAATCTTAAGTACCAATTGTACCATTTTATTAGGTTTGTGTAATTAGTATTTGACATCAAATTTTTTGCACTGAACAAATTGCTGCAACACACCTTGGTGCCAATTAGTTTAATTTCACCATAATGTAGCAATCTTAATTACCTGATAACCAGAAAATTAAGCTTGAGAAAGTCCATAATGGGCTTTGTGGTCAAGGAACTATATAATGGGTTTTGTGTTATCTAAGTATAGTCGGGCTGGTTTCTTAGAGCCCTTTTACAATTCCGATATTCATGATTGGACCCTAAAAGATAAATGGATATGTTCTTAGAGATTGACAATTAAGATTGGTCCATTACTTATTCCATTGGGCTCAGTGCTACCATCTTTCTTTTATTATCCAAATAATTATCTTACTCCTATAATTTAGAGGAATTTACATCCCATACTAACATATTTAATTTATATAACACTTTTGTATCCCTTATATTTTTATTTATAAAATTACCTAAAGAAGCTAAAAATATTCTAATTATACCTAACATACATTGTTTAACCGTTATTACTTTTTTATCAGCACATTAAATGCTAATGAGATATTTAATAGAAATTAAAGATCTACTTACTTAAAAAGTAGGAATTGCACATTATCTGCACATTACCTTTTAACCGTTAAAGATGCACATTATTTGCACATTAAAGATTTTCTTGTTCGCAATTTTTTTGTTTGTGGGAATTTCAGATCATCATCGATCGGGAGACTAGTAGATCAAGAGGTTTCAGATTCGTTACTTTCGGCGACAAAAAGGCGATGAGGGACGCGATCGACGCCATGAATGGCCAGGAGCTCGACGGGCGGAACATCACCGTGAATGAGGCTCGGTCCCGCAGCGGTGACGGAGGGTTTCCGTGGTGGTTTGATCATTATTGCTTCTTTTGAATATGGGTTCTGCATTGGTTTTTTCGTCTGATTTAGGATTTGATTAATTCTTTGTATTTGAATTATCATATTTGCTTGGTTTTCATATTGTTTTTATGGGCTTGTGAGTTTCATATTGTATTTGAATTAAACAGGTAGGTGTTGTTCGAGGGCGGCGATGACAGGTGGTGAACGGACGCCGGCGGCAATTCGTCGTGGTTGCAGGCCTCGCATGTTCACTGGGGACATGTTCGTGGAGCTTGCCATTGATTGATTATTAGTTTGCTAATTTCTAGGAGGTGGTGCAGATGAAGTTATTGTAATTTGATTTGGTTGAATTTATTATTCATGAAGAATTTTTTGGTAGCCTTTGTTTTTTGGGTTTATTTTAGAGTATATGTACAATATATCTACAGTATATGTACAGTATATACTTACGGCAGTATTTGGATGTTGCGTGTATAGACAAGCAGTATATGTGGTGTGTATAGGGAGTATATGTTCAGTATATTAGAAGAATTTTTTGTAAATTGTTCGGTATATGTTGTGTGTACAGGGAATATATATTCAGTATATTAGAAGATATGTTGGTATAGGGAATATAAGTAACCTGTTATAATATAAACAGTTTATAAACTATATATATCCTTTTATGTATAAAAGTAAAAAAAAAAAAAAAAAAAAAAAAAAAAGATTGAAAATATACTGAATATATACTAAATAAACGCAACATATACTCACTGTTCAGTACATGATTTATATTTTTCCATCAGATACGAAAATTTACATGTTGCATGATTTATATGTTACCATCAGTACATGTTGCGGGTATATACAGTATATACCAAAGTTGTACAACACTCATATAATATACATAAAATATACATAAATATACACTCGAGATTCTAGTAATTCAAGACAGCGATATATCGGGATACACATATACATAAAATATACTTTAAATATACACTCGAGTTTCAAGTGTTTCTCAAAATCGATTTTAGAACCCATATATACATAAAATATACTTAAGATATACACTCAAGATCATCGATTTAATTGCTTTATTAATTTGGTAAAGGTAAAATAATAAGTAAAAATAATAATAGCAACAGAGAGAACATGGACACGGGGACGTTCCATCTTGTCTAGAGAGAGAAAACTGTATATCCTAAATCAAAATTACAGTCCCTGCATTTCAAATTTCCATGTCTCAACACTACCACCGGCCATCATCTCCCCATATTCTAGCACCCAATTTTTTGATCGATTTTTGGATTCACCCAATCGCCCGTCTGGAAGCTGTATTTTGCTCAAATTGGATTTGGTTCTGCAGATTGAGTCGTCGATTGGTCCTGCCTGATGGATGATCTAGATGTGATGTCCCAAGATTTCGAACTCGGGGCCCATGGAAAATCCAATCCGACGAGGTCCGCGCCCTCCGATTGTCGATCCATTGACGATCCGTTGGTCGCCGGTGCTTTCGGTGGGCAGCCGAATTTCACGGCAAGCTCGAAGAATCCCGATAGAAGCAACAAGCACTCGAATTGGGATTTCTAGTGCTCTTGGATCGCCGGCGCGCACGTCCTTCTCGTCGCCGGAAAACTGGCGGCTCTACTTCTTGCTGAGGAAAGTGACAGATTTTTGGGAACTTTCTCAGGGATTTTTTTCGGATGCGGACGGCTTGCTGCGTGAATCTTGGGTCTTTATGGATTTGCTGCATGAATGGAGATCTGTAACTGATTTGTAGGCATTAATGTAATTAATTGTTGTCTATTAGATATATACACAATTATTTGTGTATGAATGGTAATTTTACAATTTTTTAATAATCGTGTAGGATAACCGAAAATTCCCCTATAATTTATCTGGAGAAAATGCATTATAGTTGGAACTTGAAAATATAGCGGGTTAATTATATTTATCATTTTTTTTTATGTAAAAAGCTGCAAATTTTTCAAACAACTTACTAGTAACACTATCCTAACAAATATATAATTCTTAATTATCACATCACTCAATACAAACATAAGAACACCATTAGCATGGCATATCATTCATTATATTAATTATTCCAGATAAAACATAACACCAAATTTGATTGATAAATAGCATTTCAACACAATCATACACACATATATATAGTGATCCATCCTATCATAATCACAATAATTGAGAAAAAATGCCTTCAACCTAACTTTATACTCGTAACTATAAGCTTCAAGTTATTAAAAAGGGAAAAAAAAATGTCTAGGGAAATTTTGTGGGCTTGTAGACTTTGCTGTCACAAGAACAAGATTACTCAAATTAGTTAAGAATATCTGTAAAGTTTCCTGACACATTTCCTTTATTTTTTCTTTAAATATGAAATAAATTCATCATAATTTCTATTTCAACGAGATTAGAATTGGATAATAGTTATAAGCAATAAATTAATCTCCATAATTGAAATCAGACAAACATAATCAAATTGTATGATATCTTATAGTATAATTATACATTTTTATTTTGTTTAAGAATCAAGATAAATTGACCGGGAAGACAGTCTAACATTTGCATTAGCAAACTAAACTTAATAACCATCTTCCCATCTGTTCCTCTACAATTATTACAAAATCCTAAGCAAAATAATCTCCAATTCGATTGAATTATACAATGACACACTTGCAAGCACTAAATTAACCAATTGAACACTAAATTAACAAATTAATTAAGTAGTTATCCTTACTTAGACGGCCCATTTCACCATGTAGGTAGGTGGCCCCATAGAACTATAAAACGTAACCTCCTAAAGGGCATTTTGGCCTTTTTTCCAGCTCTAATTGAATTCTTAACTAATACATAATTTTAATCCTCAACTGTCACCTATAAAATCAATTTTAATAATAATTAATAACTAAAGTTAGTGACTAAACTCTTGTTCTTTAGATGGATATCTTACAAATTTCAACCAACCGTCAGATCAAATGTGTACGTACAATCTAATGGCTCAAATGGGGTCGAGTTCTCTCCTAAATCACATGCTTAAAGAAAAAATAACATTTAATATTCAATATTAATACATTCTTTCAATAAATGACAAAAGTAAATACATAAATAAAAATTCATTCTCATTTATTTTTTACAATGTAAATGGAAAAGAGAAAAAATAAAAAACTTTACCTATATACTGCTTTCTTTTTCTTTCCATGAAAAGGGCCAATTAGAGATCCCAAATAAAGAAGTTACATGAAATAAAATTGTATAAGTTCAAAGAATATATATATATATATTTTAAGAACCAAATGGTGCCCTTTGAGGGATGCCTTTTCTTCTTCTTGCACTAAGAGGTGGAGATGGTGTGGTAGGGTACATATTATCTTGTGAGCCCTCACCAAAATCTTCATCTTCTCTTGATGATGATGACATATTGTTCAATAATCTTCTTGAAATCCCTTGATCCCCTCTTTGATTTAATGCCTCATAACTATTTGCATCTAAGCAAAAGCTTGCATCGCCATTGCTCTTTATTCCAATAAGCTACTTGTTTTCCAAACATAAAGTGAAAAGATTAAAAAAAGAAAGAAAAAAAAAATCATTCCTATTGTTAATTAACTATGTGAAAATCACATTTAAATAACCAATTGTGCATATAGATGTATAGTGAAAACAATAACCTTTCATGAGAAAAATGAAAGATAAAATTGGACAACTACTTTTTCTCTTTTGTCTTAGCTATATATTCAATTTTGGTCTGTCTTTTTAACTTTTCTATTATTAATAATTAATAATTGAGTAACAATGCAACATGGGGGTGTAACCACATAGCTAATTCCAGGGTGTGTAAGTTGTTACACACATATATATGATGGCTACTTTACATTGAGTTTGTTACAACTTCCTATATATGATGGTGATGGAGATGGTTTATGTGTGTGGGTCATGATTCATTTTCAATTTATTCACAATATAGCACAATCATAAATATTTCATCGTATATCACCTGTATCGTGCAATTTACAAACGTACAACAATTTTATGACGATTCAAATCATAACAAGCACCGTTTGTGTGCATAATTCATGTGAATTGGATGATCTGATTAGACAATCACATTATTGCAGCCAAAAACCAAGGTTTACGTCGCGAATACTATATACTAAGGATTATAACTGTAATTTTGATAGTTAATTACCTTGCATCCTAAAGAACAAAAACGAAACGTGTCCAAGAGGCTCCTCCCGCAAATCACACACAAATGCGAAACGGCTTTCCCACCTTTCGGTTGAGGCCTCTCGTTCAAGAACAAAACCCTTGCGCTATTTATCACATACGTTTGCACATCGCTTATGTCCAAAACCCTCTGAACCTCCGATACCCTCACCACATCATGATATGACGATCTCCTTATCTTTGTACATATACAACGTTTATATCAACATCATCATCATCATCACGAAAAAAATAAAATAAAATAATTAATCAAAATTTACCAATATATGACCACAATATATACATAAAGACGAATATTCTCCACTAAATTTTCAAATGTTAGAGCATCTTTATTGAAAATTGCTGCACTTGCCATTTGACAAAAGATATAGTATATATTAGATAATTACAATTTACAACTCCACACACACTCACACACACAAAAAGTCTCATAACGTCTAGTTATTATTACCATTATTCATTATTCTATAAACTATAATAGTACATTATTGCATAAGTTACAATTTCTAACACAAAACATGACACCAAATAAAAAACAAAAATCAAACCTGAATAACTTGATGATCTTTGTGTTTAGATGAACGACAGTAAATACAAAAAGCATTCACATTGCAATCCAAACAGAACATATTGCATTCGCTTCGAGCAGCAGCGCTGTGAACTCGACACATGTCAAAAAAAGTCGCGCCCAAGAGCTTCTCTAGCCATGGAGGCACCAACATTGTATAATCCTACATTAATCAAACATAAAAAAAATAAAATAATAATAATAATAATAATAATAATAATAATAATACAAATTAATATAATAATGTCACAAAAATTTGCATTACCAATTGAATTAAATAATGAAACTAAAAATTTTCATTGAAAAACAATTGGCATTACCATTGTTTGATGCGGATGAGAGACTATTGAGCTAGAAGAATTACAGTAGAGAGAGAATTTTAGAGAGAAGGAGAGAGCTTTTTAGAGAGGGGAGAGAGAGAGAGGCCTAACCCAAAACAAACTATTGAATTCCACAAAGAATCTCTCAATAGAAGAAATTATGAGTGTCACACAAGATTTCAATTTCTCACCTATAGGCTACCCCAAAAAGCCTAAATTTGTGAAGGTCTTGGCATTGGGCGGTCAGGATCGAACCGGACGGATGAGGATTTGTGTGAGCCGTTGGATGTGAGGAATGAGGAAAAAAAGAAAGGTTAGGCGCATTTAGGCTGCAAAGTATAGAATTTATTATCTCTTTTTTGGATCTTCTTTGCGTCTGTACATAGGCCACAGTCCAAAGAGGGTCGCCCACCATACCGTGCCAAGAATATTGAATTTCCATATATACCAATTGGTTTTTTTTGAAATGTGATTAGTTTTTAAAATTTATTTATCGGAAAAAAAAAAAGTCAGATGATGAGTTTCATGCCCAATTTTTTGGGAAAAAAGATCGATATACGAAGCTAGAAATAGGTACCTTAGACGTTACATAATTATAGTTTTTTCAAAATATATATATGCTTAATTATGAAATATTATACCTCAAGAAAAATAATATAATTAACCAAATTCTACTATTATATATTTTTTTTGGTAAAAATATGCATGATTATATTATAAAATGTCATATTTTTGTTTATATTGTATACGTAGAAGTCTGATATTTTAGTATAGAAATATGTATTTTTGTTGGAACGTTATGATTATCTAAATTTAGGCAACCTAACAGAAAATTTACTATACATAAATATTTTTTTTATATATATATGTGTGTGTGTGTGATTATACANATAATTTAAGATCATTACTTATTTGAGCTAATATGAAACCTACACATATGTGTGTAAGATCATCTCCATATATACATGCCTTAACTCCGGATATTTGATATGTTATGTAAGATTTGGACTAAACGGTCATAAAAAGATTATCTTCCTACAAGTGGTTCATAAAAGTTGGTAACTGAAGAAGTAAATGGACATAAATGTACCAAGTGATAATAACAAAATTATATAATATATGTTAAAAATATATATGTTAAAAATATATATAAAATTATATATACTAAATTATTATATGTTAAAAATGGACATATATATTAAATTACTATATGTTAAAAATATATATAAAATTATACGACTATTAGTCAAACTAATAGCACAGAATCCTCACATTAGATAATTATCTATAATTTTTCAAGAATATAGGTAATATCAATTAAAATGTCATACTTTAAAGACAATATAAATAAAAAGTTATGACATTTTGTAATATAAATATGCACTTATGTTCAAAAAGTGACATTTTGTGTCCTATATGTTGCTTTCACCTATCAAATTTTAAATGTAGACTGTCAGATAAACTGCCCTTTTAATCATCCAAGCTCTTACATTAATAATAATTAATGAGATAGAAAATACAACATTAAGCTCATTAATTATATTTGAAAAGGAGGTTAGGTAGATCCATCAAGAAATCAGCTTGAAATAATCTTTTCATTTACCCACAAATTGCTCAACATTTGTCCTAAGATTACCACAACACCAAGAAACAGAATTAATTTGCCTATTTTGTGGTTGAACTTATGTCTTAATATTTTGCGAAATAAGGAAAATACGTTTTCTTAACATTTTTTTTAATTTTTTTTTTTTGAGCAACTTTGATAGATGATGACAGTTTGAAAATGAAACATAGATGACCTGAAATCTGGGTCGACTTTCAGGGGATTTTTCTGAGAAGGGAATAATATTTTTGTGACAAGAAAATCATTTGGTTTAAGATGATATATAAATTGTAGAAATATATTTCTTTATTTAATTTAGAACATGTTACTGAAACAAGAAAGGGATACAGCGTTAAATAGAAAAAAATACTGTTTTTCTCATATTCTTAAGTTAATTATGGACTTTACTTGATAAAAATTAGAGTTTTTTTTATAGAAATATGGTGTTTATGCTTCATTTTACTTCTCGTATATTTATGAATGTCACGTACGCCTCTATTTAGGGATCAACGAAACTGAGATAGAAACCGCAATTTCGGTCTTTTTTTTTTTTCCTATTGCATTGCCTTGAGGTTCAATTATTATTTTCAAGTTCAGTTTTATATCTTTTCTTGTTCAGAATAATTTTGCATCGGATAACACCAAATTAAATACAAATATATCGAAAACCAAAGCAAAACCGACCAATTGAGCCGGGAAATGGCGGGCATGCATTTAGGTGTGGTCGGCTTTGGTAATTTTAATTTGGAAAAAAGTTCTGCTTGATTCTAGTTTGATTTTTTTATTCCATATTCCAATATATTCCAATTATTTTCTTGGATAAATTAATTTTCTTATCACAATTCGGTTTTATTTTACATTGAACCAAACCGTTGCTCACCCGGTCACCCCTACCTTTACTTTTTTACTCTTTTGAATCTAATAATTAACTTGTGTTCAAATTTCACAAAATATACAATATGTATTCTATCTTGTAGCATTTGAAAACTTGATCAATTAATTTGATATATTTTTCATTCGTAGTGGATAAAAAATAATAAATTAAAATATGAAAATTGAACTTTTAATTTCTTGTCACTTTGAATTTTTTGTAAATAATTGTAAATTAAGCTACCACACAAGCTACTATTTTCCCTTTGTTCAATGCTTTCCTCCACGTTTGTATTTTTTTTATAGTACCAACAACCAAGAAGACCTCACAATGTCAAAATATATTTCATAATCTCATCATATTTATCTCCATGTTTATCACAAACAACATTATGAAAACCTTTTGTAGAATCCAATGAGAACATGGAAAGAATCATTCTAAATAAAGGATGCGGTTAAACATACTAGCTTAACGATTACATAGCCATATTTTATTAGTCCAAATGCGTACTTTTAAACTGAGATAGATCCTCTAAAAAATAATATAAAAAAAAGTACGATATTTTATATAATAAGTTACATTTTTGCTAAAAACATATAGCCGATAAACTCGTCTAATGTTTAATCCACGTAGGGCCGGAGTCAGAGCCGTCTCCAGAAATTTAGGGCATGCTTGTTTACAAATTATTTCATTTTCAATCCAATTCGTACTCAAAATCTAACTCAACTTTAACCCAACCCCATTATCTTTAATGTTATTCATTTAATTAAATAATATAAACCAATCATTCTTACACATCACATCAACTTTAATTCACTATTCATCCACTAACATAATTTTAACTACCTATCATTTCTAATCATTTCCAATCATTTATCTCCTACTTTTACATCAAATCAATTTTAATCATTTTATTTTAAATATTATTTTAATACATTCTTAAAATCCCACTAACAATTAACCATACTACCTTTTTCAAAATGAACTCTAGTTAACTAAAATAACTCATTTTGAATGAAATATTTCATAAACAAGCACGCCCTTAGAGGCCCAAAGCAAATTTTTATCTGTGGCCCGTAATAGTACTTCTATATTTTAAAATTTTTAATTGAACAAATGATGTTAAACATTGCCAATAATAAATACAAAAATAAAATAAATATGAAAAACAAAAGTAAACTAAAATAACAAAAGCTTACAACCTTCTCGTGCTCTTTTGTGCAAAAATTTTCGATCAAGTCATCACTATAATCAAGTTTCAAAACTATTTTGCTTTCCTCATTCGACAAAGATCGTATGTAGAGTTTATCATTGAAATTTCTACCTTTATCGTTAGTAGGATATACAACATTAGTAACTCTAGTCACCATTTCTCGATAAAAAAAATAAATTTTTGGGGCATATTATCCTCCCAATATCCAGAATCGAACAAGTCATCCGAATTTTCACAATTAATATCTAGGTTATCATTCATATTCTCGATATCATTTGCATTCTTTAACTTATTATTTTCTTCTTAAAAAACTTCAACCCCTCTATCATTATCATCTAAATAATTTTGATATGTTAAATCTCGATCAACTCAACTAGGGGTGTATCAGGTATTTTCTGCACAATTTCAATAGAATCAAATACTTCAACTTCAACTACAGAAGTACTGGGTTTTACATACTTATCCACTCATCTAGCGAGAGACTTTGTTAGTATCTCTTGTTTTTCTTTCTTTTCTTTTAAAAACATCCCGAATCGAATTTGCGTTTGCCCGTCATAACTAATATAAGAAATCTAATCATAATATAATATATTAATAAGTTTAATCACAATAATATTTAACAAAAAATAGGTTGTAAAGAAATTATCTGAAGGATAACTTTGGTCAAGAGCATAGCTGTCAGTCATTAGTCGCTTTGCTTTGGAGCCCCTCTTCGAGTTGCTCTCACAGAAAGGGACTTCGACCAGATCCGTTAAACACCAGCACGAAATAGCTCGACTGAAAGTTGAGGTTTGATTACATTGAACTCTTAGCGAAAGGAGAGGTATTATAAATTAAAAGAAAAGTAAATACTTAAAATATAATTAGTACAAAAAAAAATTTGAATCAGAAGCTTGGAATTTCTATATGTAATACGCACAGTTAAAAATAATACGCCCTAAGTGACTTGAATCAAGAATTACTATGCTCCATAATGTATTTTATTTTCTTTTGATGAAAATTGAAGGAGAGAAGAGGAAGCCCAATTATTTTAATATCTATGACTTTTAACTAGCTTTAATAATTTTGTAAATGGGCCAAGTCCAAACAAATACATATAATAAAAAAAAAAAAATGTGAGGCCTCCCAAAATGGAGGCCCTAGGCAACTGCCTTTCTTGCTTGCCCCTGGTGCCGGCTGTGGGCGGAGTCACCCTTGAGATAGAGTGGGCTCTAGTCCCATGTCCCAAAAAAAATAATTTTTTGCTAATATTATTTTTTAAAAAATTTTATATATAGCCCCATGTAATTTTTTATGTAACCTCATTTAATTTCGTGTTGAATGCCTCAAGATTCAAGTCGAAGTTTTTTATCTTACAACAACGGTGGAAAAGTGATGATCGTGGTGAGAGGAAAAAAGATAATCATTTATTGTCGAATGACAATTGTGACCTTACTAGATTTTATTAATTGGGTTTATGTGGCCCAACACACTCTTGTCTTTTAATTTTTTAATGGGCTGACTTGACAAGTATCAAATGAGCTTGATAATTAGGCTTGACACATACTTCTCCTACGGACTATTTAATTGGGTTCGTCTCATTGCACAGTCTGTTACCCATTTTCATTTGTTTTTTTTTCTTTTTGTTGATTTCGCCTCTAATAATTAATTTGACCTCATTCCATAGACAAAGAAAAAACTCTCACATAGTTGATTGCAAACATGTCGGACTCTATTTGTTTGATCGACAAGTTCGATTAACTATTTGAGTTTTGCTTGTTTAAATATATAAGCGAGTCGAGATTGAGTTTCCCAATTCAAACCGTCATACGTTAACAGATAATTTGGTTCTAGTTATGACCAAAACCGGTTACGGGTCGAAACCGTCAATCTCGAGCTGAGAGTTGGAGGGCCCTGAACTGGGGCGAACATATGCACTGGCCGATTCATTGAATTGTCGGTTCTTGGTCGTCTAGTTCATTAAAAAAAATAAAAAATAATTACAAATGATATTTAAAAAAAAATGTCGAACCTCCAGTTCCGGTTCAAAATGTATAAACTACAATAAAGTATTGTACATGAATCGAACTGGTCAAAACTATAAATGTTAAATAGTCCTTGGCCCAACGGGCCGACCCGTTTAGCCCGGAAAAAAAGAGGGTTAGATCCTTTTATTAGTAGCCCGTCTAAATCAGGGGCTTTTTAGGCCCAGACCGTTTAGCCCGAAGCCCGCTAGGGCTAGCCCGGAACCCACTAGGACTAACCCGTTTAACTAGGGTTGGGCAGTGTAAATGTCTGCATCAAGTAAGTAATATCCTCTTAGATTCCTTGTATATTACAATTTTGATATTCCACTTCACATGTAAGTATGAGTTGCAATGAATTATTATGATTTTGAAAGATAAGTATTAACAATATTGTTATTGTACTTCATACCAAAATATTTAAGCCAATCAGAACGACTAATAAAAAATACATGAAACATAGTGATAGACGGTAAATACTAAATAGCCGTTGAAAATAATTTTTAACTAGCTGACCGAGCGTCGCAACACGGCAAAATTAAAATTTATATTTTCCTCAGCTAACCTCTACTAACTAGTATTAGCGGCGAGTAAGGGTCGAACCCACAGGGAGTGTGAACTAAATTATGAATTTTTTTTTTTTTTTGTAATAATTGAAATTATAAAAAGCAATAAAAGACGGGGGGATTTTGAGATTTAATAACTAAACTAAATAAAATCCTAAGAATATAAAGTAAATGAAATAAAAAAAAATGAAGAGAACTTTCTAGTTCACGGTTCTGTCTACACCCTCGACCGACTCGTCTAATCAACTTTGGTATCAAATCTCGCTATCTTATGAAATTACTAGCCCTAGGCAACGACACGGTCTGTTATCCGAATTTTTTCTTATTTTTAATTTAACCGCGAGACGCTCTACGATTAAACCTGACTTCTGTACAATCCAGAAACGTTTTCAAGATTTAATACAATCAGTCGCTTTACGAATTAGAAAAATAGGCTAGACTAAGTAGTGAACTCAACCGCGTTCGTTCACTTAAATTAGGCCGTGTTATCCTCGGTAGTTATCATCTTCCGGTTACCTCTTATGAATTAAACTCAACAACAATTACGGATTGAAGGTCTAATTCAGATGTAGATATGAAAAGTCTAATCTAGGTGATCAATCGAAACAAGACTAACACATCATGGTGAATTATTCAAAATAACACAAACAATTCCAAAAAGATATTGAAATCATCAACCATATAAATCAATCAAAACATCGTCAATCGTAGTGTTCGACTTTCCCGGAACTAGAAATAAAATCTACTCTAACATAATAATAAAAATAAATAAATAAAAGAAAAGAAACAAGATTAGAATTATCCCCTTTCGTGTGCGGGTGCGGCTTCCCTCCGCGATTTATCGTCTTCTCGCGTATCTGTATTGCTCTTTGTGACTGTTGCGTTCTTTTTTTCTCTTCTCTGGCTGCGTGAATGGGCGGCTGCTCAAATAAATCCTCTCCCCAGTCTGCATGTGTAAGGGCTTCCGTATCTCTTTTTATTTGACTTGGTTTATAAACTCCTCTCCTAACTAGGTATGCGTGACTTTTCCACCAATTAATTCCTCTAAAAACTTAGTGCTATGTAAATTTTCCTTGCAAGTATGATGTGACATATATCATAAGCTCCCAATTCTAATTCTTTTTGTCTAAGAATTAATTAGTTCCTCCAAATTTGCTCCACTAGAAAATAAAGCCTCACATTTTGAGCTTGGACATGCTGCCCACAAAATTAATCTTGGGCCCAAATTGTCAGTATGGGGTCGAGTATGGAACTCCCCCGTACTGCCTGCTTCAACCTTCCTTCGACATCTCGTCGTCCATAAGAACACTCCAATATCCTAAAAATAAACAATAAAAATATTAAAGCACCAGAATCCATCTAATAAATAAATAAGTCGAAAATATATAAGTGCAATAAAATTAAGCATATAAAAATACATTAATAAATATATAAAATACACACTTTTTACGATCAATCACTAGCCGTGTTTTATATTTTTTACTCTTTTTATTTTTTATTTTTTTATATATTATTATTATTATTATTATTATTATTATTATTATTATTATTATTATTATTATTATAGCCATAGCCCGCATAACCCGTTTAGTCCGAAGCCCGCTAGGGTTAGGGTTAGGTCTTTTTTTGGTAGCCCGTTTAAATCTGGGCTTTTTAGGCCCGGACCGTTTAACCCGAAACCCGCTAGGGCTAGCCCGTTTAACATCTCTAGTCAAAACCACGGGCCAGTTCAAGACACATGGTCAACGGACCGGTTTGTGTCGGTTCGGGCCAAGCCGATAGGCTGGGTCGGCCCATGACCATGTCTACTCGGTTCTAATGATATGCAGCCCCGGATTAAAAAATTTTCTGGCTACACTCTGAATCCACCACAATTTGTGTTGTGAAAATATATCCAATGCTTACCTCTTAAGGCTATATTCTAACATCTTATCATGAGTAGAAAAGTTGAATCTTCTTTGGGTTTGTTTGATTAAGTTCCACCAATGAGAAGAATCTCTTCCCCCTAACACAAAAAATAAGATATTTTCATGAAAAAAGTGAACACAAAATCAAGAATCATGCGATTAGTCAATATTATCATTAATATAAAACTGCGTCTCCTTAAAGTTGTAATCACTGCTCAATATTCTCATAATTAGTGCCTACTTACTTCTGGGCATCATTATTATTTACTTATAGAGGAGTGGTGTAAAAGAATATATGTGTATTTTTATATTTTATTTTACTTTTAATATTTGAGTCAGAATAACTAATTTAAAATAGAAAAATGATGTCAATCCAAAGTAACAGGAAACACCAAAATCACGCTGATTATTAATTATGAACGTCACTGTTGTAGTGTAATAGATTGATAAACTCCATACAAATAACTAAATTAGAATTTGATTTTATCCAATGTACCTATTTATTACAATTTCCTAATGTTTATTCGTGCAGAAATTATTTATCACTATTAAATTATCAGTAGGCTGATGGTGTAACTGATCGTGACACAGTAATATTTATTGTAATATCATATTTTATAAAACAGAATAACCTAAAATATGATTACGAAATAATCATATTTTGTTCTAAGCGTATTATTTGAGTGAAATTATTTGAATTCATATCAGCATTTGTGTTCATTAATATAAAAATAAGAAATAACAGACATTGTATATGCAGACACTGATATTCCGGTGCCGTTATTGCTGGAGTGATCACCGGAATTTGAATTTTATTTGCACGTGTAAAGCCAAAAAAGGTCAATGTTTCTGGATTTTTAGTCAACTCTTGCATGATTGATTGACTATTTATATGGACCAACTTGTGTAGTTGATAATTTTGTTTTATTTTAATAAGTGAAATGTGGGATCAATTTTCATACATAAGCATGCATATTTTACACAAAATATAATATTATTGTCTAATGGTTAGACAGTCTAACAACAACATTTAACATTTGTGATGATCACATTGTATACCTTGTGAATTTTTTTTATTTAATATGAAAGTATAAAAACAAAGCCACAAATATTACTGTTAAGACATTCTAACCACTATATTAGCTCGGGGCCAATATGTTCGAGCTGGTTTTTTACTCGGGCAAAGCGAAAACTCCATTAGTTATAATATTTGCAAATTGCAATGGAATAAACAAAAATAAGTACACATGCTAGATAAACCAGATTTATTACCTGATCTTGCACCTATAAAGATCCTTGCAAAAAAAAAAAACAATGGAGACATCAAATGTACTTACTCACTATATGATTACACTATGCGTACGCTTGTTTACTTGCAGGCAAATGTGTTGACTGTTGACTCTGTGTCGAGCAACGATCTGAAATGCAAGGTATTCCCTGATCGTTACTGTGTAAATGAAAAATAGGCACAAACAACAGAAAAAATACCCACAGCACGACATAACATATGCACGTAAGTGATAATAAGAAGCAAAAAGAACCAGACGAGACGTGTATTATGTTTTAATTTATCTGAGTTTCATCTTTGAGCTTATCTATTTCTCTCTCCCACTTGAATCCAAATATCTGGCGCCCAAATGGAACAATTAGGTTGTAATGAAGGACCTGCAAAGTATCATCAAGAGGTCTGAAGAATCAAACATACTGTCAAGTATCGTATTTATGTCTACAAACAAAAACCCAAAACAGAACTAACAATAATAATAAACTTATGTATGTCGTTGAGAGTATAAGTGTGCATTCTTCGTTAAAAAGGTATGGTTGTCTAACAGTTATGCATCCTAGCAGTTATGGTTGTCTAACAGTTATGCAACGGTTATGCATCCTAGCAGTTATGGTTGTCTAACAGTTATGCATCCTAGCAGTTATGGTTGTCTAACAGTTATGCATCCTAGCAGCAGCATTAGGGTGTGTTCGTTTAAAATTTTTTTCAATCCATACTCAAAATCTTACACAACCCTACTATCTTTAAAATTATCAATATAATTAACTAATACCAATCAATTATTCATACACATCACATCAACTTCAATTCACTGTTCATCCGCTCACATAATTGTAACTAATCATCACTTCACATCATCTCTCTCCAACTTTTATATCAAATCAACTTTAATTATTTTATTTTAAATATTATTTCAATATAAACTCAAAATCCTACTAACAACTAATCATACCACATTTCTCAAAATTAATCATGGTTAACCAAAAAAAACTTATTTTGAGCAGATATATTTGTATCCAAGCAAGCCCTTAGTGATCTAAAATAGAATGAGACACTGAGACGAGCTATACCTTATTATTCAGATCACGTAACTGGAGTTTTAACGCCTCGGATGACTCGTGCCACTTGGATTCATCAGGCCCGCCTTTATGCACCCACGCTTTCTTGAGGGATATTCGCCACTCGGAAATTCTATATCGTATCTCCTTGTTGAGTTCGACCCATTCTGGGGCGAACCCGTTTTTGTTGAGAATCCTATAGAGGGTATCATCTGCGGGGTCCACATGGGGGTTGATGTTCAGGTTCAGGGGCTTTCCTTTTCCAGGCAAGTTTTCGAATTGGCCTTCTTCCATTGCATGCCATACTCGTTGCTCGACAACGTTGATGATGTCAGTTTCTGATCTAAAAATGTACCAAAAGAGGGTCATAAACTGGGTGATCTTGTTGCTTTCCAATCTGACCATTCATTATTTTTTATTTATTTATTTATTTATTTATTTTTTGTTTGCTATAACACGGTTCAGAGAATCAGATCAAACATTAATTAAGTAATGTATGAGACAAAAATATTGACAATAATTACACAATATAGATATTCAAAGAAATGAGATGACGACTCAAAGAGACAAAGATTTAAGGCACATGATTGAGATGGTATTTGTTAAGTGTGACAATTATACATTTCAATTAAAATTTGATACTTTTAAGGTGATGAGTAATACTTTCCAGAAATTATCTAGGCAAAACTTGTTGTGGAAAGCAAAAATGGTTATCATACATAAAACTTAGGTGGGACCTTTTGTAGTAGTCTCACATTAGTCTTACTAAAATACTGCTATTCTGAAATATTAGGGGCTCAAATGTTCTCGACCAGAGCAGAAGACATGAAACGTTAGCACAAACATTAAAACATGTCACTGTTTAATTCAAAAGCAGCATTTTTTCACCACAAAGATTGCTTTGTTCCATTTTCTTCAAACGCAAATTTCTTTGCACCTTCTCATAGGCATGAATCGTAGATTTACGCATAACAAAATCAATAAAACCTACAAAATCCATACCAACTGCACAAACTGTTATATTGTTCAAACACAAACTTTTTTTTTTTTTTTTTTNTCTTCTCGTAGTCCACGAGTCGTAGATTTGCACAATCAATAAAACCTACAAAGCTCATACCAACTACACAAACTGCACAAACAGAGCAGCGTCCACATTATGAGGTTTGTGAAAGAATGAAACTCACTTTGTTTCTAAAGCGATTGTTAGATATTCAAATATATATATCAACTAAGATGACATGTTTAGTTCCCAATTTAACAATTAACTACCACACTTCTGTATAAATTTGACAAGAAACTGTGATTTGGGAGTGTGTGAAAACCAAAGAATTGTGGACCAACCAAGCATGACAAAATGTTCTCACTGCCCAGGAATTAGAATACCTAACACACACAAGAACACATATAAGCCAGTAAGAATGTTGTTAGGCAGGTCTAAATGATACACATATCATACTCTAAAAAACAACATCACCAAATAGGTGACATTTTGTAGCATAAATACACATTTTTTGTTGAAAATGCACAACGGGTCGACTAGTGTAATGAGCTGGCCGCCAGACATTAGAATTTGTGCAAATACACCAGTCATAACCAGCAAAACTCCATTAAAATCACGAATTCGTGCACTGGAACTGCATTTATAATTCATAAGTAAAGAGGAAAAACCAATTGCCCCTTATAGATCACGGAAAGTCTAAATTAGAGCTACAAAATTTCAGCCCATACGAAGAATTTAACCCCAAGTTTTAATTTCAAACTGCCACGAAGCTCTCCGGATTTCAGCAATTCAAGCAAAAACCCGCCTTGAAATGTACAAATATTTCAAGTTTAAAGCTATTTCTGAGCATAGAAAATATCAACCTGACGTTGTTGCGCTGTCCCCGGAGCTCCGGCGGGAGTTTCCCGTCGTTGACGGCGTCAATAACGGAGGCGAGACGATCGTTGGTCACTTTCTTCTCAGGCTTCGGGAAAAAAAACGATGACGAAGAGGAAAATCGGCTACCGGCAACTGTTGAGATATCGCCGGAGACCGTCGATTTCCGGGCGAACGGCGGTGAAGAGGACAGAATTCTCCTCACCACGAATCGAAGCGCCATGGCAGGATCGAACTCCAGAGATATTTGCAATTGGGCCTCTTCTATTATTTAGACAGTGGGCCAAACCAAAGTCCAACCGATTCAAACTAATTTTATATAGTGTAAAATTATTATAGTGTAAAATATTTAATTAGAATATAGTATTTATATATAAATATATGCATATTATTAAAAACTATAGTCATGCAATGGTTATGTTTTGATTAGTTTCATCATTCAAATGTCTGTCATTGATATAGCAGTCATCTAAATTAGTTTAATGTGAAATTCAGTTCAGGAGATCGGTTTGGTTGGCAGCTCGTCGGTTCTACTTAAAGCTCGAATTTGGTAAGATTTTAAATATATCTAAAATGATTGGATGAAAGAACTCTATATGTATAAATACAATATTATGAAAATACTAATTGCAATATTACAATTCTCGTGCAGTCTCATAAAAGTTTCTTTTAATGTACGTAACGAGTCTAACGACCGACTTAAGCGCTTCCTTACTATTTGTAGTCTTTGAAGCCATCAAATATGAATATATTATGTTGGTAACATGAAAATAATTTTTTTAGCTACAAATGTAAATTGGTATATGATATACCTTCGTTAAAAGAACTTTGATATAGTGCTTAAAAGAAGGGCATGGTAATTGGGAGCGAGGCGGTCGACCTGATTACTAAGGAGTGATTGTTTATGAATTTAACTAGTTTTTAATTAGTTTTTTTTTATCATAACTAAATTTGAAAAAATGTGATATGGTTAATTGTTAGTGAATATATTAAAATAATATTTAAAATAAAATAATTAAAATTGTTATGATGTAAAAGTATGAAAAAAATGATTGAAAGTGATAGTTAGTTAAAATTATGTGAGTGAATGAATAGTGAATTAAAGTTGATGTGATGTGTAAGAATGATTGGTTGAATAATTGGTTGATATTATTTAATTATATTAATAATAATGGAGATAGTGAGGTTGAGTTAAAGTTAAGTTAAATTTGAATTTTAATTAATTTTTTTTAATAGGATTAATAAATAATCACACACTAAATCTTTAAGGGACATGATTATAGTTCATAATTATGCAAATTCATAGTGCGTTTTCATAAATTATCCTTAGCTTGTGTAAGTCAGCATAAAAAGTAGGTCAATCATTAAAAACAAAATAATAATAATAATAATAATAATAATAATAATAATAATAATAATAATAATAATAATAATAATAATAGTAATATAATAATAATAAACGAAAATCATACTCTTATTTTATTTATGTTATTTTCGTAACATGTCATTTTCTAATAAAAAACATCAAAATGCAACTTGCATTTATTAATTCTGTAATAATTATATAAAAGCGGATCTGTGTCTCTGTGAGCAAGCATGCCAATTGCACAAATTGCAATATTTTCGGGACTTTATCACGTGAAACAATCATATATTTGACCCATATATTTTAATAATGGTGTCCAACATTTAAACAAATGTCTAATTTTCATTAGGAACCTCCCTTTAAAAATAAAAACATTCTTCAATATTTTATTTGTCTGTTTAAACGATAATAATATTATTAACTAGAAAATTCAGAAAAGTACAATTTATGTGTTAGCTGATACAAAGAAATTGTACATACTGTTGTAAATTTTAACCTTATGTGAAAACCGCTTTATCCCAAGAACATTCATATCGAATAATTTAGAATCAAACCGAATAGCGGAAGCGTACCAGAATTCATAGTGTTGAGAATTCTCGTGTTCTTCAATTTGCTAGAGTGTTGTGTTCTTTCAAACGATCTTGTTGGACTGGTATGGTCTTCCAAACGATCGAACCTTATAACAGATTTTGATCCGTAGTATTTATATAATGTACGTATTGTTATGTGTGTATTCCATATGTTTCTAGTATATTTTTTTGAAGCGAAGATGGGTGCTTTTAAAGGGAGAAGCACCTCTTCCAAAATCTGCTCGTACCTTTTCGTCGTTTGGGGCCATAACCAAATAAATAAGAATTATATAATTTTCAGTTCGGTCCCTCAACAAACAGAAAATCCCATAATAGTATCTACACTTTAATCCATAATAATTTGATACTCTTTGTATTCAAAATTACAAATTAATAGATCACTTTAATTGAATAATATTATGACAACTACACACATTTAATTTACATATGTTGTCCAATAAAATATTTCTAACACCTACCTCTTGGAACTACACATGTGTCCAATGACGTACAAAGAAAGACACAAGAACACGCAAAACACAATTCCATAAAGAAGACAAGAACTTCAAATGAGACTATATGCCTGACAGCGCTGGACTTAACGAAGCAAAAAACGAAGATAAAAAATGGCACACACTTAATAAACAAATAGAACAACACCTGATCCTAGCAGGTGAACCACACAACCACTTAAACCTGACACCAGAGTCACACACCACAACAATGAACCCCAAAAGAGATACAAAGCTAGACCCCAAACCCAAATACTGTGGTCACTCTAACCGTCTAGTCGAATCTAACAAGGAGGTCGTTCTTGATTTAGATATGAACTCTGAGGTACTTCAGTGTTGGAGAAAGGAAGGAGAGCTACCAAGAACACACGTCGGACGGCTCGAAACAAGAACCCAAGTAGGCCCACCAGAGGTATGTTTTTATCTTTGTTGTCCTTTTTTGCCCTACAATCATCATTCTATATGATGAACATACTTGTATAGCCAAATTTCTTTGCTAAAAGTTTAACTTATGTGTGACATATCCAAAATGATAAGGAGTCGGGTATATGAGTTGCCAAATATGTTTTTCTTATGATTGACCTAATATTTTTTTTACAAGCTTTAAATTAAAAATCGGATTTAAATTTACTCCAACTCAACTCTTCTCAATATTATCAATATAATTAAATAATATTAATCTACCATTCTTACACACCACATCAACTTTAATTCACACATTAAACTCACATATTTTTTATTATCTATCATTTCAAATAACACATCTCATAATACTTTTATGTCATATATCAACTTTAATCATTGCATTTTAAATGTTATCTAAATACAAATTTAAAAATTTCACCTCATCCTCCACTCAATCATCTTTAGCGCATTCAGTCATTATCTTTCATTTAATCACAAACTACAATTTGTCAACATCATCGTTCCATTAAGCATCTAACAATTTGCCATTTAATCTATTGAATGACAATTGTGGAATCCACTGCTTTTTTATTTGAATGAATTACCCAAATTGGTATTAGTGGAAGAACATTCAATTTAAATTGTCATTAAATGGATCAATGTTGATGTCCTTATTCAAAATTAATGTACTTTAACTAATAAATTCGATCAAAACCGATCTTAAATGGACCAAAGATGGATTGAGGCTGCAGAACGCATCATGAGCAGTTTTTCATTCTTATTGCCTTTTTCCACTATTGTTTAAAATTGTGTTTATGAACTATTGACACATGGTTTATTACAACAATTTTACCATCAATGGTCCCAATTTGATTTCAATTATGATTTTGTAAAAAAAATATACAGATAATAGTAAATTTGTCAACTCACGAGTAGTAAAATATCCTAACCAAAACCAGAACATATATATTTCGATTTCAATTATGATTTTGGTTCCGATTCTATCTTAACCTTCGTCAATAATAAGTCGAACCATTGACCATAACCATAAGTCCAATTAAGCTACTAGAGTTGCTACCATAGGTCAAGCCTGTCCTTGATAATTGAGTTCAATATTAAACCAGAGCTTACTTGAAATGATTGGCATTTCCCCTTTTTTTTTTTTTTTTTTTTTTTT